GATGAGGCCATAATTTCTGTTTGAGAAATGGTCTTTCATTGAGAGCAAGGGAAAACAATGCCACTTGAAAAGCAACTGAAAATTGAGGTAGGTCACTCCTAGCCCTACTCTTTCTTCTGATGGTCACCAAACACAAACACACTCTCCCTAACTCTGAGCTACACACAAAATAACACAGTAAACACAAACACACACTGTAACTGAGGAACAACAACATAGCAACATTAAATAACAATGTAAACAGTCTGTTTGGGGGGGGGACCATCCTCAACCCTTCAACAGCGACTTTCATTCAATATATATCAATGTTCATTAAATATTTCCTGTTTGGCTTGCCATAATATATATATATATTAAAGACATTTTTCTCAAACGTGGGCCACAACTGTTGGCTAAGTCTAACTGAATTATATTTGCATTCAATTTTATGTTTTAAAGTTCACCTGACTGATTAGAAACACTTAAATGGTCAGACATGACTTCCTGTTTCAATGGAGTATCAGGTCAATAATTAAGAAGTTTAAAATCAACTGGAGATGTTAAGACTTTTCAGGAAGAGGACCTATACTGTCTATACTGACCCCATGCACAGTGAGAAGGATGGTTTGAGTGGACAAAGAATCTGCAGGAATTGCAGACATTAGTTAGGTCCTGTGGTCAGAATGTCTCCCAAAGCACAATCAAACACCACTTACATAAGCACAAGTTATTTGGAGGTGGTAGGGTGCAAGAAGAAAGCCTCTGCTGTCAAGTGCCTACAGTTTGCCAGATGTTACTTCAACTTTCAGTGGGAGCATGTTCTGTGGTCAGATGAGAGCAAAACAGAACTCTTTTGGTGAAAAAACCCACCAAAGCTGGGTTTGGTTTCTGCCATGCAGAAATGTACCTCATCCCCACTGTGAGGTATGTTGGTGGATCTGTGATGTTGTGGGGCTATTTTTTCCTTCAAAGACCCTGGACAACTTTTGCAGATACACAGAATCATGGACTACAAAGGGTATTAGATCAAAACCCGACTGCCTCAGCCAGAAAGCTTAAACTGGGCTGTGGTTGGATCTTTCCCTCTAAATCACCTCAAAATCAGCACAAAAATGGTCCACTGATCACAGAATCAAGGTTTGGCCATGGCCACTCCAGTTCCCTGACCTAAACCACATAGAAATGAGCTGAAGAGGAGCGTCCACAAGTGTAGGCCTTGGAATCTCAGATCATTTGTCATGTGTTCTCCAGTCTCATTAAGTATTACAGGAGAAGACTCAGAGCTGTTAAAACAGAGGCTGCACAAAGTATTAAAACAAGGGGTGCCAACAATTGTGGCACACATACATTTCAGAAAAATATTTATATCATAATAAGATGATTCTTTTTTGCTTTTACCAAGGGTGTCATTATTTGTGGAGGGCACTGTATTTCAGAAGTATATAGATTAGCAGGTATGTTCCAGTAGTGTCTACCTGTCTGTACATAATAACAGCACTGTGGCATTGTTTGTTTTACAGGATCTGAACACAGTCTTTTAGTGGAGTAAGATTAAAGTGAAAGTAACAGCTTTAGGCTTTCACAGCTCAACCACAACTCTAACGCAACACATTTCAAGATAAAACCACTTTGTGACGTATAAGATCTCAAAACTGGTTAGTGGTATGTCGACTGTTATGACTGGCTAGTAGACTTACAAGCAGCTTGTTTACGTACTTAATTAATTAATTAAACATACATAGCTTGATAATTGTGTATGTATACAGTCACATGTGAAAGTTTTAACACCCCTGGTCAAATTACAGGTTTTGTTAACTTTCTAAGTGAAAATAATGCAACACGTTTCTGCAGGTTAGTTTGTTCTCTGTAGTGGACGTATCAACTTATTTTCACTCAGAAATCAACAAAACGTCATTTGACCAGAAGTGCCCAATCTTTTGCGTATGTGTGTTGCTGCCAGAGCCGCTTTTTAAAAACTATTTTTAATTCTGTAGCAAGTGAGCAAATAGTTAATGACTCACTTCTGTCATAAAAACAGCAGCCATTAGGCCACTCTTAAAAAGGGGAATCTGGATGCTTCTGTATTAACCAACTGCAGACCTGCCTTATTTTGAGAAACTTCAGTCAGGTTTCCTACCTCACCACAATACTGAAACTGCCCTTATAAAAGTGTTAAATGATATATATACGGTTGGAAAATTGGTAGGACTTTTTGAGGCAGTGCTTAATTGGTTCATCTCTCATTCAGAAGATCACAGTTACTTCATCACTATTGGCAGTAAACTGGATAGGGTGAATTGCATAGGGTGACTATGACATTCGGAGTTCCCCATCGACCTGTTCGCGAACCTCTTTTGTTCAATCTATATATGCTCCCTTTGGGCCAAATCCTACAGAATAACAACATTGAACCATAGTTAAGTAGACTATACACAGATATAACTGGCCGTCTCACCAGCTGATTAAAGCCCAACAGACTCACAGTGTCAAATAAATAATTGGATTTTCTTCAAATAAACAAGGACAAAACAGATGTTATTGTGTTTGGCAACAAAGAGAAGAGACTTCATTAGTGAAGACCTCGATTACTGGGCTTTAAAACAGCAGTCCACGTCTTGGCAAAATCGTAGCGTTCTAGACTCGGACCTCAACTTCACATGTCATATCAAAGCAATCACCAAAACAGTCTTCTTTTGTCTAAAATGTGTCGCTAGAATTAAAGAATTGGTGTCCCAACAAGGCCTAGAGAAGCTCATCCATGTTTCTATTTCCACCAGGGTGGACTACTATAATGGTCTCTTAACTGGGAAAGAAAAAAATACAATAAACAGCTACAACTCATTGAAAATGCTGCTGCAAGAGTTTTAACCTGGACCACGAAAACAGAGCACATTACTCCAGTTCCAAAATCTTAACTCAATCTTAGATGTGCCCCAAATATAGCCATTTTGAAATCATTGAAAACATTTCTCTTCTCTTGTGCCTATAATTGAGCTGTAAGACTTGCACTTCATTCTTACTGCACTTCACCCTTAATGAGCTGATTTAATAACAGTCTTTTTTTTCTTTTAACATTGCTTTTGCTTTTATGTATGTAAAATACACTGAATTGCTGTTGAGTATGAAATTTTCACAAGTCTAAAAAGTGTGTTCTGACAAGGCTTTCACAGGCTGCAACAACATAGTGCATTTGCATTGCTCAACACCCAAAGACTTGAGGGTGCTGACCATGTGCTGTGGAAACACACTGCAGAATCATTCAAAGAAACCACTAGATATGTCCTAATTTCCACTGAAATGGCTGCACACTGAAAAAAAAAATGTATTGAAGTGTTTTCAATGTAGAAAGCATTGTAGCTTTGTTCAGAGAAGAGTCAGGAGACCATAATTTCTGCTCAAAACACACTCTTTTATTTTGAACACAGCAGAAAAGCCACTTTCTAACATCCGAAATAGCTGAGTAGGTCACCTACAGCCACCACCCATCAGAGAAACCCACATAACACACACATACATCTCAAACTAAAAAAACTACAACAGTCCCTTTTACCGAGGGCTCAGGCCTCCCATGATCCTCTGCTTATGGCCCTTTTTGCATGCACACTTGCAAACTCCAAAGTGAGTACAGCCAGCGGCAGAATGCCACATAGCCATCCCCGGAATCTTTAAATGACCCGGAAGGTGTCGCCTCCCGCTGGGGTCTTCTTGTATCAGGCATCTCAGAATGTTGACTGTCATGAGCAGGGAGATGGGTTCTTCCACCTCCTCCTTGGGGTGAGGCTCATTACGCAATGGTTCCACCTGTCTCACGGGGACGATACTAGTCTGTACTTAATAACTACCACAGTCCACCACCCCACCCAGACCCGACACACCACCTCATCCAGGCATTTTTTTTTAACGCACAGGGGCTCTCCCAGGGTGACTGCAGCTTGGGGCAGCCTCCTTTCCTGCAGTTGTACAGCCACACCCACACTCCAGGCAACATCAGGAGACAGCATAGAGATGGTACTCTGCCCCGGTAACACTGTTCTCCTCCAACACCAGCAGGCTCCCAAAGACCAACTCTGTGGGCATCCTGACCTCACAGCCAAACATAAGGAGAGCGGTAGTGAACCCAGTCAACCCCTACACAGAGGAACAGCAAGCCAGCAGGATAATAATAATAAAAAACTAAAAGACAGGGACTCTGCTATTTTACCTATAAAATACACATCATTTGTCACATATATTGGTGAAAATATTGCTAGTCCTGGTATCTCAATATCACAATATGCTGGTATAGATGATATATTTGTGACAAAGCAGACTCAAAAAGTTGTGAGTGTGCATGTTCATGTGCATGTTTATTAACCACAGGGCAGTCCAACACTCGTAGTAAAAAGAGCAAGGCAAAAATGTCGTAACAGAGAATCAGTCCAAAGGTCCAGGCAGACAGAGCAAAAAGGAGAAAAGCAAAGGCAGATTCCAAAAACTCAGGCAGAAGTTCAAAACACCAGAAGGACAGACAAACAAACCCTCAGTAGTCAGACTCAAAAGAACTGGCAATACTTCGCACTGGCTGGCTGAGTTTGGGGGAGTATTTAAGGTGAGACTGATTAGGGAGGTAATGAGATGCAGGTGGCTTGATCCTGGGAGCAGGGCTAGTACTCAGGAGAGAGAGACTTCTGGTGGCCAGATGAATTACTCACAATATTATCCAAAACTATACTGAATGTCTGGCAAATCATGGAATTCTCCTGTTTAGAAAGTGTATAAATCCAATTATTTTTGTTTATGCAAGTGGATATTCTTATGTCTAAACTGGATAATTAATAAGTTGTACTTACTGGACATTTTGACAGGAAATGAAATAAACTCAGACTTTTGCACAGTGCTGTATAAGCAATTTTGACCCTGAATACACATGAAGGTTACATCCTCTTTGTAGTTTCGATGCTTTAAGTAAATGTTCCCGTGTCACTTCCTCAATCTGTGGTATAAATGCAACACTGCCTCACAAAGAGAGTCACTTTGAGCTGGAGAGTGCGTCCTAGACTTAAACCATTCAACACAGACAGTTTAAAAGTACATCCTTTAAAGCTAAAAGGTCAGGATTACGGAGAGAGCAGAATGGAGATGCGTGAAGACGATTATGCAAATGTGGAGGAATTAAGGAGTCCTAAGACCAGAGTTAACCAGGAACCCAAGACCTCAGGTGCAGTATGTTCTCATATACAAGTGCTTGCAGAAACATATACATGCACCCAAAGTGACAAAATGTACATACTTGCTCATGTATTCTGTGTTAAAACAAACTGTGATGCTATTTGAATAAATGTATTTATTCAGACTATTTCATCACATCACATACATTACATTACTTGTTGTTGGATGTCTTCAGTAGTTTGGAAAAGGATACTTTGGGTAATGCTTTACAGTAACTACATGCACATGAAGCATTTATAGCATATTTGCGAGCGGAACAGCAACTCTCCATTACAATTACGCAATCATTTTGAAACATTCATTAAATATATTTGGTACAAAGTAATGTGTTTAATGTAATGGATTGAAAACACAGTAAAAAATGTTTTGTATATACCTTAAAATATACAATGCTAAGCATGTGATATTTAAGAGATTTTAGCCCAAATTTCATGCATTTCTCTTCCCTTGAAAACATTCAAAAAGCATTCATAATTGACACAAAAATAATATTAATGACATTGTATATTCCTATATGGACCATTCTACCAAATTTATTCAAACTGTAGTCCCACAGTAAAACAAACTATTTGAAAAAAACAGTTTAGTACTTACTTCCCTTCCTGGATCGGGGCCTTGTCGTGGCGGAAGGGCTTATGTGGTCTAGGGATCTTCAGAGCTAAGTCGTCGGGAGCAATATGCTCCTGGCAGGGTCTCCCAGGGCGAACAGGTCTGGAGTGAAGACCCAGACTAACTCGATCCCAAGATCCTCCATGAAAGACGGACACAGACGATCGTGTACCCTGCCCAGGAGAGGGTCACCGGGACCTACCCCTGGAGCCAGGCCTGGGGGTAGCGTCCCTCGGCGAGCGCCTGGTGGCCGGGCAGCCCACATAACCCGGCCGGGCTCAGCCCGAAGAGGCAACGTGGGGAGACCATGTGGGCCCACCACCTGCAAAGTCCAGCGTAGGGGAGTGATGCAGTGCTGTATAGGCAGTGGGGGATTGCAGGGGGACCCTTGGTGGCCTAGGTCCCTGTGGCAGAAACTGGCTCTTGGTACGTGGAATGTAACCTCACTGGGGGGGAAGGAGCCGGAGCTTGTGAGGGAGGTTGAGAGGTACCAACTAGATATAGTTGGGCTCACCTCCACCCACAGTGTCGGCTCTGGAACCAAACTCCTGGATAGGGGTTGGTCCCTCTCCTACTCAGGGGTTGCACAAGGTGAGAGGCGCCGGGCGGGTGTGGGGATACTCACAAGTCCCCGGCTGGTGGCAGTGCAGTTGGAGTTTGTCCCAGTGGACGAGAGGGTCGCCTCAATGCGAATTAAAATCACAGAGAGGAAAACTCTGACTGTTATGTGTGCTTATATGGTATTCGGCCTTCTTGGAGCGAGTGGGCGGGGTTCTGGAAAGGGTTCCATCTACAGACTCCATAGTCTTACTGGGAGACTTCAATGCTCATGTTGGCAATGACTGGGAGACCTGGAGAGGTGTGATTGGGAAGAACGGCCTGCCCGGTCTAAACCCGAATGGTGAATTGTTATTGGACTTCTGTGCCAGGCATGGATTGTCCATAATGAACACCAAGTTCGAACACAAGGATGTTCATAAGTGTACATGGTACCAGAGCTCCTTGGGTCAAAGGTCAATGATCGACTTTGTTGTTGTTTCATCTGACTTGGGACCATATGTTCTGGACACTCGGGTGAAGAGAGGTGCTGAGCTGTCGACTGATCACCATCTGGTGGTGAGTTGGATCAGATGGCAGGGAAGACTGAGGGTCAGACCCGGTAGGCCCAAGCGAATAGTGAGGGTGTGCTGGGAATGACTGTCGGCTCTGAATGACAGTCTGAACTCTGACTTCAAATGAGGATATTGTTGGGCGGTGGAAGGAGCACTTTGAGGAACTCCTTAATCGGGAGGCATGCCTCCCTCACGGGAGTCATGGCCAGAAGCTTCTGGCGTGTCAAGCTCCATTTCCCTGGTGGAGGTCACTGAGGTAGTTGGCAAGCTCTTCAGTGGCAAGGCACTGGGGGTGGATGAGATTCGTCCAGAGATGCTTAAGGCTCTGGATATTGTGGGGCTGTCATGGCTGACACGCCTCTGCAATATTGCATGGACCTCGGGAACAGTACCCTTGGACTGGCAGACCGGGGTGGTGGTCCCTATTTTTAAGAAAGGGGACCGGAGGGTGTGTGCCAACTATCGGGGTATCACACTACTCAGCCTCCCTGGGAAAGTCTATGCCAAGGTGCTGGAAAGGAGACTTCGACCTATAGTTGAACCTCAGATTACGGAGGAACAATGCGGATTCCGTCCCGGCCGTGGAACAATGGACCAGCTTTTCACCCTCTCACGGATTGTTGAGGGGGCATGGGAGTTTGCCAACCCAGTCTACACGTGTTTTGGGGATTTGGAGAAGGCTTACGACCGTGTTCCCCAAGATATCTTGTGGGAGGTCCTCCGGGAGTATGGGGTGCCGGGGCTACTACTCCGGGCCATTCAATCTCTGTACTCCCGGAGTGAGAGCTGTGTTCATATACTTGGCATTAAGTCGGACTCTTTCAGTGTTAGCATTGGACTCCGCCAGGGTTGTGCCCTGTCTCCACTCCTGGAGGCCGGAGGGTGGCATCTCTGCTATTTGCAAACAATGTTGTTCTGTTGGCTGGATCACATGGATGCCTCCAGCGTGCACTGGAGTGGTTTGCAGCTGAGTGTGAAGCGCCTCCAAGTCTGAGTCCATGGTCTTAGCCCGGAAAAGGATGGCATGCCCACTCCAGGTAAGGGGAAAGGACTTGCCCCAGGTGGAGGATTTGAGGAGGTTTAAGCATCTCGGGGTCTTGTTCACGAGTGGTGGGAAGAGGGATCGTGAGACTGACCGCAGACTGGGACAGGCGGCAGCAGTAATGCGGTCGCTGTACCGGACTGTAGTGGTGAAGAGGGAGCTGAGCCATAAGGCAAAGCTCTCTGTTTACCGGTCGGTCCACATCCCGACCCTCACCTATGGTCATGAGCTGTGGGTAATGACCGAAAGAATGAGATAGCGAATATAAGTGGCGGAAATGAGCTTTCTTCGCATGGTGGCGGGCTACACTCTATTTGACAGGGTGAGGAGCTCGGCCATCCGGGAGGAGCTCGGAGTAGAGCCGCTACTCCTCCGCATTGAAAAGAGCCAGCTGAGGTGGTTCGGGCATCTGATCCGCATGCCCCCTGGACGCCTCCCGGTGGGGGTGTACCAGGCACAGCCTACCAGGGACAAGACCCCGGGGTCGTCCTAGGACCCGCTGGAGGGATTATATTTCCAAGTTGGCCTGGTAGCGGCTTGGGGTCCCCAGGAATGAGCTGGAGGAAGTAGTCCTATCTGGACTAAGCGGTTAACGATGATGATGATGATGATGATGATGAGTTTAGTACTTACAGCTTAGATATTTACAAGGATTATATTATCATCTTTTTAAATACAGGACTTTCATTCAAATATAAACAACTAAATATAAAGTAAATATATATACAAAGAATTCAAGAATCATTTCCACACTTTTTTCATCATGACTTCTTCTTAAAACTGCTCGAAAAAGTCTCTCCTGATGTCACACCCATAGTGTTAAATTGACAGGAGTGCTTTGTTGACCATGAAAACACAAATGCAAATATATTTTAATTTTGGAAGAGCTCAGGTGTGATGATGAGGAAATGTAACGGATGATTGTTTTGCTGATTCTACTATGTCAGAGTAATACCATTAAGACAATGAAAGTAATATCACAGAAATGCAAACATAAATACATATTTTGCATTTAAATTGTGTCTTAAATGATGCACATTCACATTAGAATTATAGCTGTAAGCACACATTTAATTAGCAATTTCAAGTTTGCCACTGAATTTGAAAAAAGTCTAGAATATGCTGCCATAATATTGGGAGGTGTCTCTCTCAAACCCTTACCCCAAAATTTCAATCTGTAAAAATAACACTTACACCCTTCATATTTTTTTCAATGTTTTTTTTTAAAAGATATTTTTATTTTCCTTTTTTTAATATTTTTAAGTAATGTTATAATAATTTCTTGTGTGTGTATAGCTGTCCAAAGCTGTGTTTGCTAATGTTATTATAATCACAAGTTTTCTTTAAGTTCTGCTCAAAATCAGCTAAAATGATCACCACCAAATCGTCAAAGTTATGTTAGTGTTAAGACTGTGGTTAGACTGACGGTACTTACAAAATGGAATGCTCAATTATTGAACTATAATTAAGGTATAATATCACTCAATGCAAAAGATTACAGTCTAAAGTCCAAGTCAGTTGAAAGTCCAAAAAGTGTTTTTAACTTTTAACTTTTTAATGACTTTGGACTAATTTCAGTAGGATGATCCATCTATTACATGATTTTGTGCTGAGTTTCATAAAATATTCACTCATATTTAATAAGGATATCAGTTTGAATGTGCTATCTGTGTAACACTGTAATATACTGTGGCGTTCTACCATTGGCTGAACGTTGGGCGTTTTGGGGCTATGCAAATAAGGCTCATAGGAAATGTGCAGAGAGCCCCTAAAGAAAGGACTAATTGTGAGTAAGTGTTACTATGGATACTTTTTATCTGGGTGTGGGTTGGTGGGTTTTTCATGTCCTGGGAGGGGGGGTCACCAGTGGCATAAAGTCTTTGGTTAATGGTAACCCCCCTCCCCCACCCCATGAGTTCTGTGCATGTATGTTCCATTTTCCACTCATTCTCAATAAAGAGCAAAAGGTTGAGATGAGAAAATGACTCGCTACAATGTTATACAATTATTTGTATCATTTTCATATAATTTGAAAGAGATAACTGACACAGTTTACTCAAACGATCTTCAGTCGCTAGTACTTTAAGATAATACTTTGATTTAGCTTTTACAGCTTCTAACAGGGACAAATCAGGGAGAACAGAGACTGTACAGTGCTCTGCTTATTACAAATTATTATACTTAATGAATGCTTTAATATGGTAATGTATTTGATTCAGAGTGTTATTGTATTGCTTTTAAGTATACATATGTATACTTTTTAAGGACACTTGAATCTCTATTTAGCAGCTATTGCACAAAACTGCACAGTGTTTTAATTTGCACTCATATTGCACACTGTATATACATTCTGTTCTTGTGTCTGTTAGAATGTCGCAGCTAAAAATGCACACAGACTGTTATAGTATATACAGTGCCCTCCACAAGTATTGGCACCCCTGGTAATCATGAGTGAAATGAGCTGTAAAAAATATTCTTAATTACTTAATTCTTTGATCTTACATTCAAAACATTAACAAGAATCTAACCCTTAATTAAGGTATAATGATGGAAAAAGAAAACTAAATCTTGCTGTGACTTAAGTATTTTTCCTAAAAATGTGTGCCACACCTAGAAATTCTTGAAAGTGACATCTAACTGAAGTATAATTCCCATTTATATGTTACGCATTTAAGTTCATCTGAGCAATTAAACTCAAGCCCCTACAGTCTGATAGACCTTACTGGAACTTTCAGTGGAACCGTGTTCTATGATCAGATGAGACCAAAATAGAGGTTTTTTGTGGACACAAAGATAGCTCATCCCCACTGTGAAGTATGGTGGTGGATCTGTGATACTGTGCGGCTGGTTTTCTTCCAAAGACCCTGGACAATTTATTTGGATATATGGTATCACAGACTCCATCAAGTAGCAGCCAAAATAAAATCAAAACCTGACTGCCTCAGCCAGAAAGCCTAAACTCGGAGGTAGTTTGGATCTTCCAGCATGACAATGATCTAAAGCAGGCCTCAAAATCAACACAAAAATGGTTCACTGACCACAGAATTAAGGTTTTGCCATGGCCACCCCAGTTCCCTGACCAAAACTCCATAGAAAACCTGTCAGATAAGCTGAAGAGGAAAGTGTGGACCTCAGAAACTGAAGGATCTGGAGAGGTTCTGTATGGAGAAGTGGTCTCTTTACCACATGTTCTCTAGCCTAATTAAGCATTAAAGATGACTCAGAGCTGTTATCTTCGCAAAGGGAGGTTCTTTTTAGATTTCTGTATTTTAATAAAAGATCAAAAGGATCAGCAATATAGAATGTTTTTACAGCCTGTTTTGCTCATGTTTACCGGGGGTACTGTTATATGAACCTCCCAGGGCGTGGTTGGAGTCAGGGGCAGGTTTATTGAGGCATTCAAATCATAAATGGGCTGAGTTAAATCCTTCAAGATGGTGTCAACATTTAGAAAAATACTCCAAAAACAAAATCCAAGTCTCAAAACCAAAATGCTGAAGCTACAGGTCATAACAGGAAAGAAAACACAAAATACACCACTCAGAATTGTTAGGAAAAAACAGAACAAGACCTCACACTGAACCTATGTCTGAATAGATCTTAAATACTTTACTAAATTACTAATTGTGGAGGGCATTGTAACATATTGTATATTTTCTTACTTTATATATGTTTTTTCTGTTCTTTTATTTTTGTGCTCTCTTACCTTACTAAGTATTTATAATGTGTTTGTTTTATAACTTGTAGTCCAGGAGGTACTGCAGAGTAAGAGTTTCACTGTACAGTGCAACTGTATGTTTCTGTGCATGATAAACTCTTGATTCTTGAATCTTATGAACAGGCCATGAATGCTTCATGTACATGTAGTTCCTGAAAAGCAATAGCCAACTTTATATACCACAGAAATGTCATACTTTCAAAAATGTGAAGTGAATACACTGAATTGGTGAATGTTATTGTCTGAATATTGTTTCCTTTCTAGTTTCCAGAATTAACACTGCAGGGAGCAGATGCTACAGACTGGCTGCAGTGTGTCTGGGGCTGCTGTGTGTTCTGCTGCTGGCTGCCATCACAGTGCTGTGGATCAAGTTTACTGCAGAGAGAGACCAGTTACAGACCAGTAATGACAACATGAAGAATGAAATGGGCCAATTACAGAAAGAAAAGGAAACGCTTCAGAAGAAACTGTCAGAATTAGGTGAGTAAATAAAGCTCAAGTTAGTGATCATAGGAAACTACTCTGAACAGACAGCATGGTATCATGCCTGTCATGCATTCCTCCAAAAGCGTCTATTGTTATCCACTTCTCCAGCCTTTTTATTACTGTCAGAGATGATTTAACGTGCTTGTTGGCCCTGTGCTACTGGTGCCCGTGGCCTCTAAAGTCTAGTTAAAACCCATAAAATCAGTGTCAGTTTCAGTTTCATTTATTAAAGTTTAAAAAGGCAGGGTACAACAGCATAAAAACAGTTTTTAAACAGTGAAACCTGAAATGTGTCAAACATTACAGTACATCATAAGCAGAAGAATAAAGTTAAGAGCATAAACCCTAAAATAATTAGGTCATTTAAAAAGAAATTGAAAAGTATGAGGAATTGTTCATGGAAGTTCATGTCTTTTGGTTCTGCTCATGGGCACTAGATATTCCCTGCACCGACGAAGCAAGTAATTGGGTGTTGAGGCTGTAGGCAGAAAATCATACAGGTGATTGGGTGAATTATCCTTGATTATGTTGCTAATAATGGAAGTTGGAATGCCGATGATTGTACAGCATCATTTTTGTATCCTCTCCAGTTCCAGGCCTGAGAGGCCTTTTGTCAGCCCAACCCAGGCTGGGCTAACATACTGAGGTACTAATGAAGGTCATGTATGTCTGTTTTAGAACATCACATAGAAAACTGCCTCTGCTGGCAACACTACGGTAATGAATCCTTGGCCTTGTCTTTGAGAGCAAATAGTTCATGTAGGCATCCCAAGATAAATCAGATGATATTTGAACTCCTGGCTCTGTTTACCATATCCATAGTCTTGGGTCCATTCATTGTCAGTGAAAACTTTTGCCCTAAATCATAAAAACATGTGATGGGGCAAATTTGGAAATCATGTGCTCCAGATGGGCATCTCTTAGGATCCATTCATTCACTTTGCCAACACAGCTGACCAATGAGATTTGGCAAAAGTCAGTTGGAAAGCTGGACTTTGCTTTTTTTGGGAAAAGCTTTGACCAAAGCGTCTTTCTATGTTTTTTGAGAAGTAATTGTGTTGGATACGTGTATTAAAAACATTATATAACACAGACGCAGTTCTTCATGAAAAGTCTTTAAAACCTAAGAGGGAGTGCAGTCCAGTCCAGCTGCTTTCCCTGGATTAATTTTGCAGAGTCATCCTCCTCAGATGGAATAATGTAGACCACTTGGTCCCATACTGAAGCAAAATGTTTGGCCAGAGAGTCACACTCACTCTGCAAGATGTTGGGTCTTGAAGTACCACAGCCCACCCATCATCATCTGCTTAAGTGCTTTAACACACTTCAACCACTGTTTTGAGCTACAGCACTGCAATTCCTCCACCTCATTCTAGTAGTATGGCTTCTTGACTTTTTCCCCCAACAACTAGTAGTCAGAAACCTATTAGTAATTGATCCTCTCTTTAGTGGGGCAGCTTTATCCTGGATGGACCCAGACATGGAAATGAAGGGTCAGTGGCCTCATAAATAGGGGTAGAGTCAGTTGTGTTCATAAGAAGGCCTCATTGCCTCCGGTGTATGTTTTCAGCACATGATGTACTGTGTGGGATTGGAGGGCCATTTACCAGCATTCCACATGATGGTTTGATGGTCAGAGGTGCCAACAGGTGGCAAAAGCACAGGTAGCTCATACAAGAAATGTTGGTAAAAAAAAATTTTTGTTGTTACACCAGCCACAACTTGTTTCGGTCTGTGTCTGACGCAGATGATTTCAGACTTCTCCCCATGAATGACAATGGCAGCATGCTGGTAACTGCATTCAATATTGCCAAGACAGTGATCCAGATACTGTGTGATTAATGTATCTGGGTCACCCATTGCTGAGTTATGCAAAAGGATGTCTTTTCATCTGTATTTACAGTAAAATAGGATGATTTAGAGTGAATAGAGTGGGTCTATTTAAGAATTACATTACTGGCAAATCATTCATTTATTATTTTCTTCTTATTATTATTTTCTACATAACACATATGATGTATATAAAAAAGTCAAAAAGTCAACAGTTTTTTAAGCCTTATTTTTGTAAACCTTTTTTCACTACTGATAACAATAAATTAGGAACTTTATTTGCTTACCTTTCTCTCCACTGATGCGTTTGAAATTTTTATATTGGCTTAAACTTTACACTATAACTGGGCTGGTAATGCAGGTAATGGCATACAGGCAATTACAGAATATAAGAGGGCAACAACCACTCATGCTATATGTAGTTCCTTATTGTACCACGTATTGTGTAGTCAAGGTAACTGCACTGGAGTAATTGCACATTGAGGCTATTAAGACAAGCCTAATTACACTACGGATGAGCGGTTATTTATAAAGACTTAAACTGATTTTTCAAAATGTCAGCATAATTAAGTTACTGAGATGTAAACAAAGTTAATCAGAGGGGTTTCATGTGAAATGTTTCCTGTAGAAACATACTATTTTTTGGCCGTCCAAAGTGTCAGCTAAACATGTCTAGAGTTTTATATACTCTTGATAACAGTAACAGTGGTAAATGTGGGACATTTTTCTTTTGGTACTATTTTGCCTTACAAGGCCCTGCGTGTCTCTCTCTCTGCCATGAAAGTACTACTAAAAATGTCTTAAAGCTAATATCAAATCTATTGTAAAATAGTGTCTCAGACATCAAGCAGCATATCTGTAACAATTTAATGTAAGAGTTTTCTGTGCTGTAGCTTTAAAAAGCAGTTAATTCTTCAACTGGTTCCTATCAACACCACTGTGAACAATTCTGACTCAGCAAGTTAAGTAAAGACAGCATTAACATCTTAAATGACTGAATTATGCAGAAGATCTGAAGAATCATTGGAGTTCCCCTTTAAATTAACTGACCTATTAATGCATGAATTTCTCTATGAAAAGAGCAAGAAAAGAACACTTCCAGATACAGTTTCTACTACACCTCTACTGAGAAGAAGAGCTGGAGTGCGAGCAGACAGTACTGCACAGAGAGAGGAGCAGACCTGGTGATCATAAACAACAAAGAAGAACAGGTGAGAGAGAGAGAGAGAGAGATACTACTCTTCTTCAGCTGTATATATTCACATCGTGCCATATTCTACCATGTCAGGAGTTCATCAGTAAAGTATTTGGCAGCACTGAAGCTTGGATTGGTCTGACGGACATGGAGAAAGAGGGGTTCTGGAAATGGGTGGACAACTCAGACTTGACCACTAAGTAAGAGACCACTGAACTGAACTCTGTTCATGATGCAATTATTGACTAAGAAGGTCTAGAGGTGTAATAGTGAAGATAATCAGATTCTCTGTGTTTCAGGTTCTGGTTTGAGGGGGAACCCAATGATTATAATAGAAATGAGGACTGTGCTGTATCTGGCTATAAAAATGCTGGATCGGAACGTGTATCAACCTGGGCTGATTATCCCTGTAATGACCCTGACATTAAATGTCTAGGTATCTGTGAGAAAAATCTTTAATTTAGTCTACATGAGACTAAACAGAAAACTTGATTTTTCTACATGTATAAAATATTAGAATTCTTATATTTCACACTGCAAGCCTATTTGTACAGCATTGTCCTTATCAATATATTTAAGAAGATAAGGATTAAAGTACAGAGTCAAGTGCAAAATAATATTAAACTTTTACTTCTATGTACTCAAGAAATTAACCCTTTGCTTAGACATATTATATATATAATCTGATTCCCTGTATATATGTGTGTGTGTGTATATATACATATATATATGACAGAACTGACTAGACACTTGCGGATTATATGAGGAAAGTAGGCTTTACTTGTTAGAACTTGTAGTCAGAAAACAGGCACAGGTCAAATCCAAAACAAGCAAAAAAACAAAGAGGGACAAATATAACAAAAACAGGCAAACACTATCCAAAAGGGAAAGGCAAAATCAAAAATCCCAAAAAACAAACAAACAAAAAAAAAACATACAGTCCAATACACAGGAAGGCAAAATAAACATAAGAAGAAATGCTCAGTAGTTCAAATGAATGAAGCAATACCTCTCAAACACCAAACTAAAGCCTGGGTTTTTTAATACTATCTACCACAAATCATATGGCATTGATATGGGGTAATTCCAGTAGCCGAGCTTATGAGCGAGTTCTGTACCATCTTCGCCCATATCAAATATCTAGCCCAGTCATGAGGATTGTTATGACAGAAAATTCACAAACATTTCCCTAATTCTTAACACTCCTATGTGTTCAAAGAACTTGTGATGTAAATTTGGGACCCCTATCTGATAGAATTTCCTCTGGAATCCCAAAGTAATGGAAAACCTGATTAACCAAGGTCTCGGTTTGAAATGCAGTGGGTCAGGATGCAAATGGAATAAAATGGACAGTATGTGAGAATCTACGTACAATGATGAGTATAGTAGTAAAACCCTGAGAGTCTGGTAAATCTGTAACAAAGTCTAGGGCTAAATGTGACCAGGGTCGATTGGGCACGGGTAAAGGCATAAGTTTCCCTGCGGGTAATGTCTATGGTGTTTTGCACTATGAACGTGTGGAACAGGAAGCTACGAATCAGACTGCAAGTGAATTTCACACTTTTCACCCCTGACATATAAATTATTCTTGAGAAGATGCTTCAGGACAGATCGGACATGACTAACATGAGAGACAAGGCCAGGGGAGTAAATGAGAATATCGCTGATGTATGCGATCACAAATTTACTTATTATATCACGCAGGGACGGCGTTGATGAAAGTCTGAAAGATGGAGGGAGAATTGGAAAGGCCAAACAGTATTACTAAGTATTCGTAGTGCCCCCTGGTGGTGACAAAAGCAGTTTTCCTTTGGTCACCCTCTCTAATTCGCACTAGGTTATATGCACTCCTTAAATCTAATTTGGTGAAATATTGAGTCCCTCTGAGTTGCTCAAGAGGTACAGGGATGAGAGGAAGTGAGTACGTTTTTTTTTGTGATTTGGTTAAGGCTTTGGTAATCAATGCATGAGTGAAGACCACCATTCTTTTTCTTTACGAAAAAGAAACCAGAAGCCACCAGTGAGGTTGATGGTCTAATAAAGCCTTGCTCTAACGCTTCCTGTATGTAAGTATCCATGGCTCACTCCTCCTGCTTTAGGAGATATACTCTATACTTTGGTACAGTTACGTGCTCAACTAGATCAATAGCGCAATCATAGAGGCGATGAGGAGGTAATTTTGTAGAACTCCCCTTACTAAAAGCCTCTAGAAAGTCACTGTATTCCTCAGGAATGTTAAGAGGGGTCTCATTACTTGGGCATTCTGTGGAAGTTGATCAAAGAGAAATTAAAGGGTGTGTGATACAATGCTGATAACAATAATCTCTATAAGCTCATGGTGTTGGGCACTAGTACTAAATTTTACAAGTTCTGTCAGTTTTGTAATGGAACCAGGTCCTACAGACTCTGGATGGGTGTCCTCAGACACTGCACGGGTTCATCTCTGTCGTTGGGAGAACAGATCTCGTTTCCTTTGGGGAACCTTAGTCTGCTGTCAACATCTCTACAGGCCAGTTCTGTGTTGGGGTTGAGACCTTTGCAGAACATCACCAACAAAGCTGGCTAGTCGCCAGTGTGCAAAATTCTAGCGCGTAGTCAGACCTTTCCTTGATGTAATGTAGTGAGGAGTTATCCACTAACTTTACCCTTGTAAAGATGGTCAAAAACTGTACGGACGTCCTTCAAAAATTGTTCATATGATAGTGTTGTATTTTGAAATAGCGATGATGTGAAGATGATGAAGTCTCCTCTGACACCGTCATGCTTGTATAAGATGTTTATTACAAAGTAAAACAGTATCATATCAAGCACTATAAAGTACCTGAGAGAGGATCCGTGCCAATTCTAAAGTGTTCCCCTCCAGAATAAAATATGCAACTGCTTATATAGGGTGCTTGTTTTCGAAAAAGGGAACAGAACATATGGTCCTTTTTAAAATGATCTCATCTGTCTGGAACTAAGAGAGGAAGGGAGATAGCCCCACTCCCTCTGGGGCCTTTGGACCAGGAGCCCCTAACTTAAACATTCCAAACCTGCAAAAACAGAACACATAGAACTCCTAGATATTACAACATCAACTTATACTGAAAGTTAAGAGTGTTTTTGCCTTCTTCTGTAAAGCTACTATTTTAAAGATACTACAATAGATTTTGAACATTGAGCCAGATTGCAGTAGCCCATTCCAATTCCTTATCAGCCAGGCGCGAGATCCCAAAAGATATTTTTACCTGATCTGTATTCTGTGGGGAGTTGTTAAAAAATGGAGCATTGGAGCAAAAATCCTCATTTATCAGGATGGAGATCAAACTTGTCAGGTTTACTCACCAAAAAAGGTAGCGCTAGAAACTTTGGCAGGCGTGGCGATGTTAACTGTTGTTTCCGGAGTTGCAGCAGGACTCAAACGTTGTAACTAGACAGTCACACTGTTAACCAACTGTAGTAACTGGGCCGGTTGGTCAGTCTGCTGCTGTGCTGAAGTCTCAAGAGAATGAGTTACCCCTGACAGTACCTGTTGATGTTGTCCTAACAGATGACCTTGATTAACAATTTCCGTCTGAATATCCTCGGAATCCGCCGTCTGCATGGGTGGCAAGGTATTCTGTAATGTGGCAAAACTGACAGACACCCGCAGACAAAATGAGGAAAGTGGGCTTTACTAGTTAGAACGTGATCCAAACTCGTAGTCAGAAAACAGGTACAGGTCAAATCCAAAACAAGCCAAAAACACTGAGGGACAAACAAAACAAAACAGGTAAACATGATCCAAAAGGACAAGGAAAAAAGGCAAAGTTGAAAATCCAAAAACACAGTCTGATACACAGGAGGGCAAAATAAACACAGGGAAAACGCTCAGTAGCTCAAATAAACGAAGCAATACCTCGCAAAGAGATTAAAACCCGGGCTTTAAATACTATCTATCACAAGTCATATGACAAACTAGACAAGTGTAAGAGATTTGTATTCAGGTGAAGAGGAGCAACGACTATCTGTGGATGGTGGAGTGACAGTCTAAATCAACAAGGGAATTCTGGGAATTGGAGTTCTGTAAAGAGTCAGTTCTGGAGAGATATGTGACACTAGGTCCTAGGGAGAAGGTGGTGGTCTGGCTGTTGTCTTTAATAGTACACTTAAAATTAACCTCTTTCAGTGTCATGAAGTTACTTCTATTAAATTTATGGCCCTGAAATTGGTTGGTTCTGTTTCTGTGCTGTTTCTGCTAATTTAACACCCAAATCTTCCTCAAACTTTTTGTCAGAGTTTATTGAACTACTCACTCTAGCCAGCTCTGTCCTCAGCTCTTTTCATAATATCAAAGCCATTGATTCTCATACATTTTCTGCTCTTCTTCAGTCGTCTCCCCTTGACCCTATTTCTCAATTCTCTTGTCCTGATGAAATTGTATCTCTGTTTAATGGCACCATTTCTGATGTACTTGACCCCTGAACTTTGTGGTATGAAAACCACTAGCAGGTGCCTTTGTAAGAAAACTGGTCTTACTGTTCATGCGTTAGCATACTCAGACTATATACTTATATATAGCTGCTATATGCTTAGACATAGAGAATACTTTTCCCTACTATTAATAAACTTCTTCATCTCCTCCCTCTCTAACCCCTCCCTGCACTGCTGACCAATGTAAAGTCTTTCATAGATTTTCATAGAACAGTTCCCCTCAACCTCCTCAACATCTCTCTATAGTAACATCCCTCTTAACTTAGCTGTCGGAACCCTGTCTGTTTTTCTCCTGTTGTTTTTTCTCCTGTACTCTCGTTTCTGAATTAATTGCCAAATCTAGTGCTTCTACCTGTCAGCCCGCACCAAACTTCTTAACACTGTCTGTCATTTCATTAACGCATCTCATGCTTCAGGTTATGTCCCTACTGCCCTTAAAACTTCTGCTATCACTCCCATTCTTAAGAACCTGGTCAGGATACAGCCACCCTTGAACACTATCACCCAATTTCTAATCTGCAATTTTTAGCTTGTTAAAATGGGTTTAAGCATCTCAATTGCAGTCTTTTTTGGTAAATCTTTTTAACCTTTCTGGCTTTCATATAGTGCATAGCACTGTAACAGCACTTTTATGGGTTCTTAATGATCTCCTCCTGTCTACTGATTCCGGTGCTATGAATATTCTGCTCCTCTTAAATCTACAGTAAGTGCTGCATTCGACACTGTTGATAATGACATACTCATCTCCCGCCTTTCAGCTATTGCCATTACTGACAATGCCCTCGCCTGGTTCAGATCCTCTATCACTAATAGACTTCACTTTGTTGTCCTTGGTAAGCATAACTCTGCTATCAGTGCTGTTACACAACTTGTCTCCCAGGGATCAGTCCTTGGCCCTCTACTCTTCCTCATCTATATTTTACCTTTTGGTCAGATTGTCCGCTGTCATGGTCTTCATTTTCATTGTTATGCTGATGATATACAGATCTACGTCAGCACAAACACAACCACTAACCTGCCACCCCTGACCTAATATTTTGTTTTCAAGACCTCAGATAATGAATGCAGAGTAACTGAAATTCTACTCATTGGCCCTAAGTCTGTTCTTGCAAATTCCACTAACTTCACTTATTTTGGACAGTGTGACTGTTAGACCTTCAACTGTAGTCTGTAACTTAGGTGTACTTTTTGATTCTGTCCTTTCATTCAAACTTTATACTAGGGCTCCGGTCAAACTGTTCTTTTTCCATCTCTGCAATATTGCTCATCATCACCCATTGCTTTCCATGAAAGATACTGAATCTCTGGTCCATCCTTTCATATCATTCCACTTAGACTACTGCAACTCCCTTCTCACTGGTGTTCCTCACGATACTATCTGCCCTCTTCAGTATTTACAAAACTCAGCTGCTGGAATACTCAACTTGCGGCGACAGCAGCAAGGAAAAACTCCCAGTAAGGAAGAGACCATGAGAGGAACTAAGACTCAACAGGGGATCCCATCCTCCTCTAGTCAACACTGGATTACGAAGATTGTGTTAAACGTGGCAGGCAATGGGGCTGGATGAGAGTAAAGCAGATTATATTTTCCTAAATGAAAAAAAACGAAGCATAAATGGCTGTTAGAAGGCAGTTACTGAGTTCATGGGTGTGATGACTGGGCAGTTGGATGATGCTCTAGTCACTGCAGGAGGTAGTTTGGCATGGAGTATCCTGTTGGCAACAGTACAGTTCTTCAGTTATAACACTGGATGAGAATCACTTGATTGAAATGTAAGCCCCCAAAAGGCCAGCAAAAGTAAAAGGACATGGCTTCCAGGAACAGAGGGCTGAATGGGATGAGATGGGGCTGATCTGAGATTGAGCAGATCCAAGGTGGGGCTGATCTGAGATTGAGCAGATCCGAGATGGGGCAAAAAGGATTTGCAAATCTAAGGTGCATTGGAGCTCATCCAAGACAGAGCTGGTCTGATATGGAGCCGACCTGAGAAGGAGCAGAGTTAAGTAAGAATTGAGTAGCAGAGCTGAGTTGCATTGGATCTGATCTGAGATGGAGCCAATCAGAAATGGAGCCGAGTGGAGTTAGAATTGAGTTGCACAGCTGATTGTACCAGAGCTGTTCCAGGATGGAGCAGAGTTAAGTCAGAAATAAGTTGCAGAGCTGAATTGCATAAGAGCTGATCTGGGATGGAGCCTGTCCGAAAGCTGAGTTGATGGAGTTATGTAGAGTCATGAAGGTGAGGGAGGAAAGGGGGAGAGGAAGATGCAGAATGAAAGGGGTAGGGGAGGATGCAGGATGAAAAGAGGCTAGCCAGCTTGAGTAGTTTATTCATTAGAGCAGCAGAGAACACTAGGCTTTAGTCACTGGTATGAGGTGGTATTGGATATTAGTATCAGTACATTTTTACAAGTACAAGTAAATGAGCACTGTACTGGACCCATACCTGTTACAAGTATTGGTACTGTTATATCCCTATTAGGAACCCATTAATTTTGGATTTGCTATTCATTAATTTTACAGCTCATCTTACCTATTGACACATTGAAGCTGTACAGAAAATGCTGAGATGGTTTGATGCAGTCTAACGAAACCTCCAGCAAAGATAGTGGACAATTCTCTACCAGAGTCTAACTTTTTGTTAATTTTCTATTGTTTTAACAGTAAAAGTGAATAAAACATTATGTAAACATGTTTTTCAAATGAGTCCTTTCTAGTTCTCTGTCCTCTTACACAGTTATTATCGCCTGTGGAGCATTGTCATCATCTTCCTTTCCATTGTAGCTCAGGGTCCACTGACAGTCAGGGATCTCTGAATACAACAAATTTTATTGTTACAATGTAACCACAGTAGGAAACCGCAGTGTTCCAGTGTTGCTAAAAGTGCATGTTAAAGCCTGTCTCTGTTATGTTTTTACGAACTGGCAGAGAAAGAATGCTGTTGGTATTTTCTCTTTTTCCTCCCGTTTTCTTTAGTTCGAGTCAGGTGGGGACTAAATTTGGTGCAGGTGATGTCAGATCTGACAAAGTACCAATCAAATGTATTAATATGTATACATCAGCTACTTGCATTCCTCTCTCTCATATGAAGAGACTGATCTCCCACTGCTCAGAGTCCCAGACAAAACTCAGAGTAAGTGGATTATTTAAGCTTTTCTAAATTTGTTAATGGTGCTTGTTATTAAACCGCTGTGAAGAGTAGGTAGATGCTGCTTCCTACTTGCATTAGCCACCTGTTGAAGGATCCTACTAAAAATGACAAAATTCATTTTTGAGAGCTTGATAGCTTAGTGGGCCACTTCGACTGTAGCAATAAAATGATACGTTTGCTTAGTGTTATGTTAGCTACTCCCTCTAAACATCAAGGCTCACAGTGTCTCCCTGACAATTGTACTTTACAGGCGTGGTGCACAAAAGGGCACCCAGGACTTTTCTCCTCCATGTCATCATATACGACTGTGCCGACTCATAACAGAAGCTTGTGTGACCTCCATTTCAGAAGCACCGCCCAGCAGTTAGTTAACTAGCTGTAGGTTATGAATATAACAGTGCTGAGCATTCAAACATAAGACAAATTATGTCCGTGTTCTACCTGCCGTAAGATGAAAGCCTGAGTTCTGCAACATCAGCTGCAAAATGTAACTAGAGCTCTAAAATGACCATCAGACAGCTTATTCTTTTCTATTCGTTTTGCACTTTTTACTCACCATTCAGAGAGCGGTGGAGAAGAGCGAAGTGGTCTGTTTTGCTGTGGGACGCTCAAAATGTTAAAAATCTGCCAATATGCATGAAAAACCTCCAAAATGCATTTCAAGGTCATTTTTATCCATAATAGAAAATAATACAGCTTTTATACGTTATCTGCAGATGTCTTGCCTTCAACAATTTGCAGATATGTATTTAAGTTGTCACTAGATGACAATGATTTAAACAAATCACTGCTATGAAAAACTAAAAGCTTTTTACTTAATCTAAGAAATGCCTGGACAAGAAATTATAAAGTAATATATAGAAACTATAAGTAATAAAGTAAAATTATTTCATTTGCGTGTGGATCTCATTTCCATAACTTGCACAGCTTGCACAAACTCACTAATGTTTTCAGAGTATTAACATGTTTTAATGACCAGGAGACACATTAGCAGAAAAGTTAGGGTTATTTAGTCGATCTACGGTTGGAACTTTTATATTATCTGTGTGTTTATTAATAAAACTAGAGAAATATGACTGTCTGGATATTTTCATAGCTTTACTGTAGGTGGAGATCTGCTCTTTGAGAATATCACAATGTACCTGCAGCTTAGTTTTCCTCAGTAAGCGCTCTGATTTACAGCAATTTCTCTTGAGCTGGTGTATTTCTGCATTCATTCATGGATGTTAATGAGTATGCAATGTTTTTCTTCCATTTGACTGGAGCGACAATGTCAAGAGTTTCCCTTAATCTAGCATTTAGATCAGAGACCAGATCATTACAGGAGGGAATCAGAGCTGTATTCAATAAACTACTGTAAATGTTTTAAACTTTTCTATTGATTCTCAAGTCTTTCCTTCTTACTTCTAAATTGATTTGATAGACAATACAGAAATGATCTGATATGAAAACATCAGAGATCAGAGACACATTTGTCTTTAAACCTTTGGTGATCACCAGACCCAAGATGGGACCTCGCTTGTGGGTAGGGCCGCCCACGTACTCCTTGAAATCAAATGTCTCTAAAAATCTAATGTATTCTAATGCATTACTGTCTGATGGATTATCAAGCCATGGGCCCACCGGCTTGTATCATTACACCCTTCTATAACCAAAGAATAACTCCATTAGTTTGCACTGAAGTCCCTGTAGCTACTGAATAATAAGACTTAGTATGTAATAAGCCTGGATTGTTAAGTGATTCAAGTTCCCAGAGAGAAGAATCTTATCATAGCTTGTGGATACAACTGAAACTAGTTCTGCAATTTCTCCCAAAAAAATTACTATTTCTCTTGGGAGGTCTATATATTACAGTTAGAAACATAAGTATCACTAAAAAGGTTGACTGCAACATAGTCTAAATAAATTCACCAATAGTGGTATTTTTTCCAGTTAAAGTCACTAGTATAAATACATGCCACTCCTCCTCCTCACCTGCCTTGTCTTACTGTATGCATGAAGATGTAGCTTTCAAGAGCTTCCATGTAGAGATGTTTTGCCATTTTCACAGAGCCATGTTTGACAGTAACATAAAATCGAACTTGCGCTCTGTAAAAACATGTCGAATCAGAAGTGTTTTGTTATTTAGTGACCTTACATTGAGTAAAGCGAGGTTTAATTTTCTACTCACTACACTATGTGTTTGGGGGGACTGGTCTTTTTAAGGGGTATGCAAATTAAATTACTGGGGTTTTGACCACGCATGTTTTCCTTTGATTTATTAATTCAACAGGGTTTGATGGCTCTAATGATGTTATTGGAACAAAAGTTTTGACAACTTTGTGTTTTAAGTATTGTGGTAATTGTTTGTACTGTTTTTCATGACTAGTTTAGGCATCTTTCTTCCTTCATAGCTAGCAGATGCTGTTGTATTATGAGAGCAGAGAAAAAGGGGAATGGTAGAAATTGAAAAGGCATTATCTACATCATAGACAACATCTCTGCTGTTGATACTACTTACTCGTCCGATGTTTATTGCTGTTACGTCCAGTCAGGCCTGGTGTAGTACCTTCTCTAATGATAGACCCACAGTGGCTTGGGTCTAATCTGTCTATGCGGTAGACAGCTGGTTGCTCTGAGAAAGTACTCCAGTTGCTCTCAAAGCCAACGCCATTGTAGAGGTAGGTAGATGTAGTGACCGTAGGTGCACAGAGGTCCTGAGATGACAATGTGCTTTATACCAGTACTTTTACTGGACCTCAATATCAGTCGATATTCCCAGTAGGGCCTTGTGTTTTTTGGGGGATTATATATATATATATATATATATATATATATATATATATATATATATATATATATATATATATATTACAAACTTTCATCTTCTGTCATTGAGTATTTATTATCTTCATTTCCTCCAGTTTCTTTCATCCGTGTTCCTGTATTTTATATATTATATACACATATATACACACATACACATTTTATATACATATATATATGTATAAAATGTGTATGTGTGTATATATGTGTATATATATAAATAAACCGATGCTGGGTCAGATCAACCCATTATATGTTCTGATATATAGTGACCCAGTGGGTTATTGATATGGGTTATTTTTAACCCAACATTATTTTGGGTGTACAAGTTTCACTGAAGCTTCGGACGCTGCAGAGGCCTCCAGGCCAAATGCACGCCAGGATGCTGGCCTCCAGGCCAAATGCAAGCCAACGATAAGTAAGCCATCGAGGAGTTAAGTTTCGGTTTTGTTTTTGTTTAGATGAGTAAATAAAGCACGTTTGTTCACTTGTGCTGGTGTTTGTGTGTGTGTGTCTCTCTGAGCTGTTGTGGGGTTTCCCGGTCAGTGTGTGTTGGCCCCTCCCCCGGCCAAACCACAAGACATATTAGCATACATTGTACCTTATATTTTACCACTCAGTGTTTCAAGAATTGCACCCTTTTGTTTCCGTCCAAAATTTAATCCAAAACTGTATCGCTTGAATAAAAATCAAATAAACATTATGGCACTTTTATTTTCCAGAACACATTAGGGCTTTTCTGAAGGCCTAGAAGGCCCTGAGGGTTCCCCATTGCCTAAAACAGAGAGATGGTTCTCTTAGCTGCTTATTCAAAAACACTTGTACACAGTAAGCAACAAAAAAAATATGTACATATTCACAGCACATGTCATCTGTTTCTTTTATTATCTTTTAAGGTGCCAAAAGGGTCATTTTTGCTACATCAGCTTCCACCACAAGGGAAGGCATTTCAATTCAATCAACTGCCAATCCAGAGACAACTAGAGAACTTGCTACCATACAGTTACAGGTGAATCAAATCCTTCAGTGGTTCTTCCTTTCAAAGCCTGTTTGGTTAGCTATATTTACTAGTTAGCTAGAATTACCGTTAATTAGATAAAATACAGGAACACAGATGAAAGAAACTGGAGGAAATGAAGATAATAAATACTCAATGACAGAAAATGAAAGTTTGTAATATTCTGGAAATCATTACGGTCTTAATATTAAATTCTGCATGACTCCAATTGCAGGCGCTAATACAGAAAAAATAAGGAAAAAGTGGCAGGTTTGGAAAACAGAAGCTGTTTGTTCATAATAAAAGCTAGAGCTGCTAAGAGGTGCCACTAGAGGGCACCTGGAGAGTTTGAGTGCTTGGAGAATAGTGATGTGATAGAAGCAGCTAGCAGGAGTTTAATAGTATCCCACATTATAGCTGACCAAGAGGTACAAAAGTCATAAAAATGGTCTTTTTCACTTTTTTACAGAGGTAACAAAATAATCTTTCTCAAAGGGATCTTTTTCAGAGGGCTGATCTGTAAGTTTTGGGGATTTGGAGACCTCTCTGGTAGAAATGCAACATGTGGAAGAACATTTTGTAATGTGGGTTGTGCTTGGGACTCTTTAACGTTTACTTGTTTGTTGAACAAGTGTTCACACTTATGATTGTATGTCATTGATAGAAAAAGACCCACAACTCCATAAAAAGCTAAAGGGCACAAAAAGAAAACCATTTCCTCTTACATTTTTACCTTTATATTAAACTGTTATCATCAGTGAATTCAGTTGATGAAGCCGGGGGGTGTTGCTAGGCCAGTTTTAAAATGTTAGCCCCCACTAATAAATCTACATTATTAGTTCAAATAACCAATAGTTTTTCTCATTAATTCTTCATTATTCAGCCGCACCACTGTGTCTCAAAATATACTGTGTTAGCAGGGTGTGAACTGGGGGAGGTTGTGCTGCTGCTGCTGTAATTTACTGCTGCCTCAGCTGTGCTACCAGAGATTTTCTAACATAACGTAAGAGGAGACAGTCCTCTGCTGTTTAGCTTCGGGGAAAAGTATACTCACTGGCTCAGCCTATCAAATCAGACCTGGGGGATGGTTTCCTCTACAAAGTAACATCAGTTGGCAACTGCTGAAGCTGAGACAGGATTTTGGCTGAAAGCTCACTAAAATACACAGACGAGCCCCAAAACATTGACAGATCAAATATCCTTCATGTCATCTGCCCACAGCATAAGCACCCTGTGCGACAGTATTAATCATCCATGTGAAACACAGTGAGCTGGATACAGTTATATGGATTAGATGAAGCTTTGATGCAAAGAATTTGCATAGATGATTGTTAGTAATTGAGTTAATCGAGTTTTGTCAAGAAATCAATTCAGAACTAAATGACACACGTCACAGTCTGGGATGTATAAGACAGAATGTAAACAGTTGATTCTGGATGTTGGAGAAATGGGCAGACGTGAAGACTTGAGCACATCTGACAAGGACCAAATCATCATAGTCAGACAACTGGCTTAGAGCATCTTTAAAACAGGAAGGCTGGTGGGTGCTCTGGGTGCTCCTAGTCAGAAGTGTTGCGTATGTATTGACAGTGGTCTGAGGACAGACACAAACTGGCGACGGGGTGTTGAGCACCCAAAGGCCCATCAATGTGGAGGCTTTCCAATCTGGTCTTAACCAACAAAAGTGCTACAGTGGCACAAGTCAGATAAACTTAGAGTGATGATTACAGGATGCATTTCATCCTTCTGCTCATAGGGCTGCGTATCCGCAAAACGGTAAGAGTGCTAACCCGTCCACTGTTCCCCAGATCTCAATCCTATCAAGTATGTGCGGCATGTCCTAGAACAATGCTGATGGAAGGATCAGAATTTGGTGCAACCAGCATCTGGTTGGATCAACAATACATGTTGAAGGTGCAGTATGATGGTGTGGGGAACGGTTTCCTGGCACAAATTCGGACCTCTGATATCCACTTAAGAATTTCTGGAAAGTGTATTTGAATGTAATTGCTGACTAATTTCAGTGATTCATTGCTACAGTTTATCCACACTCGGATGGACACCTCCACTATCATAATGGATCATGCTACAAAGCATGTGTTCTCACTGCATGCCTCTAGCAAACATGGCAGATCACTTCAGTGGCTTGTACTGGGGCCCAATGCACCAACAGTTCTTAGCTAAGATGTTCTTTCCAGCTAAACTGGTCATAACTAACAACAGTTTTCAGGGAGGGCTTTATGCCCAAGTGCAAGGTCAGTCTTAGCTGGGTGTGACCATATGAAAACATGAAGCAATTATAGTTGCTAAGCAACCTGGTTCATTAGGCAAAACAGCTACATGCATGCTTATTCTCGGAAATTCATAGTATTCTGATAGTCACTCAATCACACTACCACCAATTTGCTAGGCAACTTTAAGTTCATGCGGGAGAACAAGGATGTTTGATATGAGAGAAAGCCATGATTTAAAGATGTGCAACAATAGCATGAAAGTTTGTGCTGTATTGAATTCACACTTTAACCATGTGACGTTCCTCTGCACATACAACAACCACGTGACTTGTAGACACAGCGCAGACCGTCTTATCTGTTACAATCTCACATCTTTAGCGAGCTCACAGATCAGTTTCTAATGCACTCTCATTAATATAGATGATGAGGCCGCCTGAACAGACAGTGGTACACAGACCAGCACAGAGGCGCTGGTAGGTATTTTGGGCTCCCTGAAACCTTTATCCATAAACCCCTTGCCTCACCTCATATCCCGTAGCAGAACCTATCACAACATTAAAATGTTCCCAGGAGGCAGGGCTTGGGACTTGGCCTCCGTCCCCCAGCCCTCATGGTTGTCATCCTCGCGGTCATCATGGGCTTTCGTCTGTGCTCGTGGTTTAAGCCTTCCTACTGACTCTCACGGCCGTCTTTTTGAACACAGAGGACGGGCATCAGGCACACCTTGTGTTGATTTGTGTGTGTTGATTTGCTGCAGTGATAAAAAATGAAAGCTAAAATCCAAATGGCTGAGATTTCCCACTGCGTTACTTCTGCTGCATCCCAAACTGCTAGTACTAGCACACTAAATAGTATTTAAAAACAGTGCAGTACCATTAGAAGTACACTCTTTAGTGTACTAGGTGAAGTACAGAAGTGTGTGGTTTGGGACGTGCCATTGGATCAGTTAGTGAGATACATTCAACAGTCTAGTAATCTAGCAGCTGTAATCAGCTGATTACAGCTTTGCTGTGCCGCTGGTCAGTTGTGTGCTGAATATGCTGCTCATTCCAAGCAAATGGGTAAAGTAATTCCTGATTAAGTATACATTTATCGAGGTAAATCTGTTGTAAATACTTGCAATATTAACAGCTTTGCTTTTAGTGGTAGTGTTTTCAAGGCGGGGACTTTATCACATGAGAAGGCCACCAAACACGGAGAAGAAAATGAGATAAAGACATTTCTGACCTTAAATAAACATCCAACAGCTCTTTCTAAACATTTTTATGTTGTAGATTTGTGAATTTGTGCTGCTCTGAGGACCAAAGATGTGCAACATTTGCATGAAAGTTTGTGCTGTATTGAATATACCCTTTAACCATGTGATGTTCCTCTGCATATACAACAACCATGTGACTTGTAGACACAGCGCAGAGATTCTTATCTGTCACAATCTCACTTCTTTAGTGAGCTCACAGATCAGTTTCTAATGTACTCTCATTAACATAGATGATGAGGCCGCCTGAACACATTGTGGTATACAGACCAGCACAGAGGAGCTGGTAGGTATTTTGGGCTCCCTGAAAACTTTATTAATAAACCTCTTGCCTCAGCCCCTTTTTCTGTAGCAGAACCACAACATTAAAATGTGCAAACATTTTCTTGACCTTACTCTTTATTTTGCTATATCTCCATATTTCCTTCACTTTTACTAAGCATGCAACAAGCTGTGAATATGCGCAACACGACTTCATATCAATTTACTGTGTTCAGCTGACTGATTTTTTGAAATACTTCTCATAAGCAGCTGTCAAAGCAAACCTATAACTGGAAGAGTTACAGAATGGAAGATGCTTTGCTGCAGGCACTGTATCTAAAACTAGATTATAATTATTATTTAATAAAATTGAGCATTTCAAAAAAAGTACCATCTTTGTGTCTCTTTGGGGGCCTTGAAATCATCTTAATATCCTACCTCCCTTTATGACACAGTTCTGTCTGTTATTAATCCCAGTACTAGAGGTGAATGTATCTGAGCAATGTCTCTTCTTTATGACTATACTCAGAAATGGCAATAGATATGATGACAACTTTACATTAGCCTTTTACACAGACCACAAACCACAGGAACTGACCTCTCCAGTTAGAAGGCAAAAAAAGAAAAAAATAGTTCCTGTAGACAGAGAGCAGTGACAGAGATGGGTGTCAAAGCTGGTATGAAATGCCTAAACTTCCTGTCCTGAGAGCAAGTATGTATTTAGCAGTATCACCCACACAGAGTCACTTTGAGAGCTGAAGACTGTAGTGGAGACTTCACATCTGCAGATACAGCAAAAATCCACTTAATGGCATCAACACGTTTACAGAAGATCAAAGAACCGAAGATGAATGAGGATATATATGCAAATTCAGGAATTACGACAGACAACACATCAACTCATTCGGACGACAGCAATGATTATGAGGACATCGATGCCAATGAAGATGTCCCAGAGACGGGTGTGACCAGAAGCTGTAAAGGAACGACCTCAGGTACACAGACACACACACACACACACACACACACACAGGTCCTATACCAAATGGTTCCCTGTGATCCTCCTTCAAACCAGGAATTTGCTGATGAGAACTTGCAGAGCAATAGTAGGTTTTAAAGCTTACATTTGAGGTGGACTCCATATATAATATGAATGAGTGAAAAACGTATTCACTAATATTTCATAAGTTTGAATGTGTTATCTGCATAACACTGTAATATATTGAATGGCTGTCATTAAGCTCTGCTTACAACAAAATTAAAAGTGCCACTCATTTTGTTTCAAGATAAAAAACAGGATATTCAAAACAGCACAAAACATTTAAGAAGAAGACACTAAACAACATTCAACATAACAGAACATTCTATGAGACAAAGATATACACAGGACTATACAGTAAAGTTGCATTAAACACATTTAGGTATAGTTTTAGCAGCATGGGTCATGTGAAAGATAGAGGTCAGTGTTTGTATGTGTAATGTGGTAATGGCCCTGGAAAAGAAGCTGTCTCTGAGTCTGGAGGTACCTTTTTTTGTCTAGCCAGAGGGCAACAGGCTGAAGAGGTGGTGACCAGGGTGTGTGGAGTCTTTGATAATACTGGCATCCCTGCTGAGGTAGCATGAGGTGGCGAAGTCCTTTAGGGAGGGCAGCGAGAAGTCAGTGATTCTCTCTGCTGTTTTCACCACCCTCTGCAATGCCTTCTTGTCCGCAGCAGAGCAGCCTGCATACCATACTGAGATACAGTAGGATAAAAAGCTCTTAACGGTGGCTCTGAAAAAGGCCACTTACAGCTTCTTCTCCATGTTGTTCCTCCTGAGAACTCTCAGGAAATGGAGTCTCTGCCGTGCTCTTAACAGTTGCTATAGTGTTGGCCGTCCAGAAGAGGTATGCAGAGATAAGGACCCCCAGACATTTAAAATTCTGCACCATCTCTACACAAACCCTATTTATACAGAGTGGGGCCAGGTCTGCATCACGTTTCCTCCTGAAGCCCAGTATGATTTCTTTAGTCGTTGTGATGTTCAGATTCAGGTTATTCACTGAACACCACTCTGACGGTCTGTACACCTCATCCCTGTATGCTGACTCATCGCCCTCTGAGATGAGCCTGACGGTGAGTGTGATCAGCGAACTTAATAATGGTGTTGGATGGGTGAGCTGGTGAACAGTCATAGGTTTAGAGAGAGTAAAGCATGGACGGTGGAGGAGGAGATGTGGGAGCCTAGTTGAACACTCTGTGAGCGATTTGTGAGAAAGTTATTAATGCAGGTGCAAACTGGGTAACGATGGCAGTGGTAACGGCATCCTCAGTGGACTTGTTGGCTCTGTAAGCAAACTGATGTGGAAAGAAGGAGCGAGGCTTTGATGTAATGCAGGACTAGTTTCTCAAAGCACTTCATGACCACTTGTGTTAGTGCCACTGGTCTGTAGTCATTTAGATCTCCAGAGATTGGCTTTTTGGGAACAGGAATGATGGTGGCTGATTTTAAACAGGATGGAATCATAGCTAGTGACAGTGAGGCATTGAAGATCTTAGTAAAGACCCCTGCGAGCTGGTCAGTGCACGCCTGCAGTACTCCAGTACTACCCCATTCGGTCCAGCAGCCTTACTTTACTGATCTCAGCACACACCTCACCTCCTGCTCCTGCGGTGTTAGTGTGTTGATAGTAGAGACAAGTGGAGGTAGTACAGCTGAGGCAGGCCTGCTGGCCTCAAATCAGGTGAAGAAACTGTTCAGCTCTTCAGTCAGAGAGGCGTCTGCCTTCACAATGTTGTTGGTGCAGCCTCCATAGTTGGTTAACTGCTATATCCCCTACAACACCCTCTGAGGGTCGTCACGTGTCAGATTAATCCCAATTTTTCTTCTGTTGGCTTCCTTAGCCTTCTTAATTCCTCTCTTCAAGTCGGCTCTGGCAGCTCTGTACTGTGCTCTATCACCTGTCCTGAAGGCAGTTTTTTTCAGAAGCCTCTGGATCTCACTTGTCATCCAGGGTTTCTGATTGGGAAACATCCGCACGTTTGCTAGTGCAGTTGACACTGTTAACACAACTTTTGAGCACAGTCTCTGTGAACTCCTCAAGATCCTGAGACAGAGAGAGAGGGAGAGAGACAAGAGAGAAAAAGAGAAAAGGAAGTGGGAGGGCACGATAGAGAGAGGGGAGCTGGTAAATATTACTTTGTATTTTTTCTAGTTTCTGGAATCAACACAGCAGAGAGCAGATGCTGCAGGCTGGCTGCAGTGTGTCTGGGGCTGCTGTGTGTTCTCCTGCTGACTGCCATCACAGTGCTGTGGATCAAGTTCATCAACCTGACTATAGAGAGAGACCAGTTACAGACCAGTAACACCAACCTGACTATAGAGAGAGACCAGTTACAGACCAGTTACACCAACCTGACTATAGAGAGAGACCAGTTACAGACCAGCTACACCAGCCTGACTATAGAGAGAGACCAGTTACAGACCAGCAATGACAATATGAAGAATGAGAGAGGCCAATTACAGAAGGAAAAGGAAATGTTCCAGAAGAAACTGTCAGAATTAGGTGAGTAAATAAAGCTCAAGTTAATGATCACAGGAAACTACTCTTCCAATTGTTATCCACTTCTTCAGCCTTCTGATTACTGCCAGAGGTGATTTAATCTGCTTGTGGGCCCTGTGCTACAGGTGACTGGTTAAAATCTGTGAAATCAGGATTAGTTCCAGTTTCATTTATTAAAAGTTTAAAAAGGCAGGGTTCAAAGGCATGAGAACAGTTTTTAAACAGTGAAACCTGAAAAACATTACAGTACATCAAAGGCAGGAACAAGTTAATATGAGGATGAAATTAAGAGCATAAACCCTAAAACAAAGTCATTTAATTAAGTATGAGGAATAAAAGAAAGTTCATGTCTTTCAGTTCTGCTTGTTTGCACTACATGTCCCCTGCATCAACAAAGTGAGTAACTGGGTGTTGAGGCTGTAGGCAGATAATCATACAGGTGATTGGGTGAATTATCCTTGATTATGTTGCTAAGAATATAAGTTGGAATGCTGATGATTCTACAGTATGGATTTTGTATTCTCTCTTGTTCCTCTGAGAGGCCTTTTGTCAGCCCACCTCAGACTGGGCTAGCATACTCAGGGACTAATGAAGGTCATTTCTGTTTTAGAACATCACATAGAAAACTGCCTCTGTTGGCAACACTACGGTAATAAATCCTTGGCCTTGTCTTTGAGAGTAAATAGTTCATGTCATCTCTACTGATGTTTTTTTTTTGAGAAATCATTGGAGATGGTGGAGAGGGGATGTAGTCTTCTCTCCAGGCTCTGATTACCATATCCAGTCTTCGGTCAATTCGTTGTCAGTGAAAACTCCTGTCCCCATTTAGTCAAGCCAGGTAGAGACCCCATCAGGAGCTCTGTGACTGTAAGGTTATTCACAGGGATAACAGAGGGAGGCAGACGTGACTCCAGAATGTTTACACAAATGACAAATAGCAGTGAGGATAATTACAATCTGTTACTCAGACAGCTCCTCACAATGAGCCAGAGGGGATGTCTGATAGGTATGTTGCCAGCATATGAAGCAAGTGAGTGTTTTATTGTGTCAAAAGCATGGGAGAAATCAACAAACACAGATTGAACATCCGTTTTGGGATTGTTATTAAGTGCTTCATGCCAGCATTGCAGGATCTGAATCAGTGCAGTAATAGTTGATTTCTAAGTCATAAAAACATGTGATGGGGCAGATTTGGAAATCATGTCCTCCAGATCGGCATCTCTTAGCTGACCAATGAGATTTGGCAATAGATAGCTAGAAAGCTGGGCTTTGCTTTTTTTGGGAAAAGCTTTGACCAAAGCATCTTTCTATGTTTTTGGGAAGTCAGTGTGTTGGAGACATGCATTAAAAACTTTACATAACACAGGCACAGTTCTTCATGAAAAGTCTTTAAAACCTCATTAGAGGAGAGACCTGGTTGATAAATTGAGGAAGGACAGGTTTAAAACTTATTACCATGACTAGTTCATATTTATACTTGGATAATCTGCTGTACATTTTCAGTGCTACCTTTCAATACAATTAATGTTGCCTCAACACTAGATGGTTGGACATCCCATTCCATAAACAATGGACATTAATATGGAGCTGTATCACTGAAGGTTTTTTTGATGTACTTCAGAATAATAGTTTTAATGGAAAGTGTATCTTTTTGTCTGTGTTTACAGTAAAATAGGATGATTGAGTGAATATCATGTGGGTTATTTTTCAAAGAATTACAGTACTGACACCTCATAAAATATTATTATCTTTATTATTTTGAGATAAAGAGCCAGTGCGCAGCTTCTGAAGCCCCTGATGGTTGAACATTTACAGTATGTAACACTTATGATGTATAAAAAAATCTCAAAGTCAAACAGTGGGCCGGGCAAAACAGCAGTCTTTTAAGCCTTATTTTTGTGAACTGCTATAGAGAACAATGAATTAGGAACTTTATTCGCTTATATTTCTCTCTACTGATGGGTTTGACATTGTCTTATTAGCGTAACCTATAACTGGGCTAGTAATGCAGGGGACAGGGCATACAGGCAATTACAGAATATAAGAGTGCAACAACCTCTGATGCTATATATAGTTCCAGACTGTACCACATAGTGTGTAGTCTACATAATTTCACTCATAAAATTGCGCATTCGAACTTCTGAGTCAAGCCTAAATACACTATGTATGAGTGGATATTTATAATTCACTTAAACTGATTTTAAAAAAAAATCTGCATAAGTCAATCACTGAGATGTAAACAAAGTCATTTATAGTGGTTTAATGTGAAACTGTGGTTCACTGTATACAAACATACCCACTTGATTTTCTTTGTAAGGGGGTGATAAGAAGTAGTAAATCTGGAACATTTTTCTTTTGGTACTCTTTTACCTTACAAGGCACTATTAAAAATGTCTCCAAAGCTAATATCAAATCTATTGTAAAATCGTGTCTCAGACATCAAGCAGCGTATTTACAACCATTTCATGTAACAGTTTTCTGTGATGTAGCTTTTAGAGGCAGTAAACACTTTGAATGAATAGTTCCTGTCACCACCACTGTGAATAATTCTGACTCGGTAACATTCATAAAGATGGAGCATTAACTTCTCAATGACTGAATTATGCAGAAAATCTGAAGAATCAGAAGGAAGTTCCATTTAATTGAACTGATCTACTAATGCAAGATTTTCTCTATTAAAGAGCAAAAACAGAGGTGTTTCCAAAATAGTTTCTACCACATCTCTACTGAGAAGAAGAGCTGGAGTGAGAGCAGACAGGACTGCAGAGAGAGAGGAGCAGACCTGGTGATCATAAACAGCAAAGAAGAGCAGGTGAGAGAGAGAGAGAGAGAGAGAGAGAGAGAGAGAGAGAGAGAGAGACTATTCTTCTTCAGCTGGATATATTCATATTGTGCTATACTGTACCATGTCAGGAGTTCATCACTAAAGTATTTGGCAGCACTGACGCTTGGATTGGTCTGACGGACATTGACACAGAGGGGGTCTGGAAATGGGTGGACAACTCAACACTGACCACTCAGTAAGAGACCACTGAGCTGAGCTCTGCTCATGATGCAGTTATTCACTTATTCTAAGAAGGTCTAGAAATGTAATAGTGAAGATAATCTGATTCTCTGTGTTTCAGGTTCTGGTGGACAGGGGAACCCAATGATTATGGAGGATATGAGGACTGTGCTATAACTGGCTATAGAGGTGCTGGATCTGAACATGCGTCAACCTGGGCCGATTATCCCTGTGGTTACCCTGTAGTTGGAATCTGTGAGAAAAGTCTGTAATTTAGTCTACATGAGAGTGAACAGTTAAAATTATGACTCAAAAACCTGCATTTTAGAGCTCCCCTGGTGTGGACAAGGTCAGTTTATGAGGAACCTGGCCACTTCCTATGTCTCCCATTGTAACAAAAATATAAGTAGAAAAATAACAGAGGGCTCCCACATGGGAGTCCTCAAAAATGAGGGATAAATGAAATGTTATAAATGAAAATGTAATATGTTTATACCTATTTATGCTGAAACATTCTTTCTTAAACATACATAAGGCATTATGTTTGATATTAGAGCATGCCTTCATCATGTGGTGGTAATATCAGGGAGAACTTGGAGAACTCTGAGGGCTGGAGTTCTGGGCGCCTTCTGCCTGTAGCTAGAAGGCTGAGCCCCTACACCCTCCCTCCTCCCATAGCTGTGGTAGGACTGATGTAGGATTGAGGAGCAGGGAGGAGAAAGGAGGAAAGTGAAGATGTGAATTTATCGGAAGAAGGATGTGTTTCTGGCTTGTTCCTCCGCTCAAACTTTCAGTTATTACATATCTACATTTTATGAGTTCAGACTGTACCTTCAGCATATGGTGGTAGTGTGAGAGAAGACTGCCTGAAGGAGGGAGGAGAACTATGAGAGCTTGGGTTGGAGTTCTGGCCTGTATCTAGAAGGCCGGACCCCCAAAAGAACCCCAGGATGAACTCAAACGTTTGAGGTCTAGGACTGAGTGATCTTCACATGATGAGAAAGAACAGAGGTCCAGAAATCTCTGGATTATGTAGATTAGGTTAAACATGGCAGGCAAAGGGGCTGGATGAGAGTAAAGCAGACTGTATTCTCCTGAACGAAATAAACATGGAGCAGGAATGGCTGTTAGAAGGCAGTTGCTGAGTTGATGGCGTGATGACTGCGGCAGTTGGAAGATGCTCTAGTCACTTGGCATGGAGTATCCTGTTGGCAACAGCATGGTCATTCAGTTATAATATTGGATGAGAAACACTTGCTTCAAATTTAAGGCCCCAAAAAAGGCCAGCAATGGCAAAAGGACATGGCTCCCAGGGACAGAGGGCTGAATGGGATGAAGAATGGTCAAAATGGCTAGGAGAGCGGCAGGTTCCGGGGGTACAGGCAGCTTCGTCACAAACAAACCGATGTTAGTCCAGTCTGAGTCCTAATCCCTATTAGGAACCCATTCATTTTGAATTTGCTTTTCAAATGTTTTAAATTTACAGCTCATCTTAACGATCAGCACACTGAAGCTGTATGGAAAACGCTGAGAATGGTATGTTGTAGTCTAAAGTCTAAAGGACAATTCTCTTTTTGTTTTTGTTGATGTCCCTTAAGTGTCCATTGTTTTAACAGACGTAAATAAACCATTATGTAAAAATGTTATTCAAATTAGTCCTTTCTAGTTCTCTGTGTGTTCTCTTACCCAACACAGTTATTATCACCTGTGGAGCAATATCATCATCTTCCTTTCCATTGTGGCTCAGGGTCCACTGGCAGTCAGGGTCCACTGACTACCACAAATTTTATTGTGACACATAACCACAATAGGAAACTGCACATTAATAATTTTCATTTTCAAGAGGAATAGATTTCCAGTGTTGCTAAAAAGTGCATGTTAAAGCCAGTCATGATTCTTATTTTTCACGAAGTTTTTACTATACACTGAAAGAGAAAGAATGCTGTTTGAATTTTCTACTGAGAGTTTTTTTAATAACTTTTTCTGCTGTTTTCTTCAGTTCAATTAGAGTTGGGTGTGAATAAAGTTGGTGCAGGTGACATCAGATCTGCTAAAGCACCAGAGTTATCAATATGTATACAGCCAGCTACTCGCATTCCTCTCCCTCATATAAAAGCTCTCCAACATTAGCTGCAAAATGTAACCAGAGCTCTAAAATGACCATCAGACAGCTAATTCTTTATTTTAAACTTTTTACTCACCATTCAGAGAGTGGTGGAGAAGAGTGAAGTTGTCTGTTTTGCTGCAGGAGGCTCAGCTCTGCCACTGGTCATTTTATTCATAATACAAAATAATACAGCTGTGAACAGCATGTTACATTATCCGCTGATGTCTTGCCTTGAACAATTTGTATGTATTTAAGTTGTCACTAGATGACACTGTTTTAAACAAAATGTTTATCACTGCTATGAAGAACTAAAAGCTTTTTACTTAACCTAAGAAATGCCCGGATGAGAAACTATAAATAATTTCAATAAAGTAATAAAGTAAAATTATAACACTTGCGTGTGCATCTTATTTCCATAACTTGCACAGCTTGCACAAACTCACTAATGTTTTCAGAGTATTAACATTTTTACGTTGTATATCAAAGCACCATGCAATCAAAAAGATAAATGAATAGCAATAAGAGTTGCAAGTCTAACTACTGCTCATACACATTTTAAAACTTGCTTACCTTTATAGGCTACGTCAAACAAGTCACGGGCCATTCCTATTTCCTAATATAGCAGAACCACAGTGAGTAATGCAATGTGAACTGGACAATCTGTGCCGTGTTTGTCTTGAACGCACATCCCTTATATTGGTAATAAACTGAGTGCGTTTAAAATTGGTGTTGACTGTGAATGATACATATGGGCTGGGCAACGGCCTTCTCTCAACAGGAGTGACTACAACGTATATCACAGTTTTGAGACCTGATCAATGTGGGAAGTTGGGACTGTTCAAATTTCAGCTTCATTCTTAAGTTTAGTGGTTGATTAACTTAATATACTTTTTTAAAACCCACCAAAATGATGTCAAGATAAATGTCAAGAGTTTCCCTAAATCTAGCATTTAGATAAGAGACCAGATCATTACAGGACAGAGTCAGAGCTGTATGCGATGAACTATTGCAAATATTTTTAAACTTCTGTTTCTGAGTCAATGTAAAGCTTTTTAAAGTAACTTTCAGGCATTTTTTCTTACTTCTAAATTGATTCAAAAGGAAATACAGACATAATGTAATAGAAAAACATCAGAGATTAGGGACACGTTTGTGTTTACATTTTTTGTGATTACCGGATCCAGACCCTGCTTCATATCAAATGTCTTTAGAAGTCTAATGAATTCTAATACATTACTGCCTGATGGACTATCACTATGTAAGTTAAAGTCCCCAGAAAGAAAAATTTTATCATAGCTTGTGGATACAACTGATATTAATTGCCCACCTTTGCCAAAAAATTAATATTTCTCTTGGGAGGTCTATATATCACAATTAGTAACATAGAAGTATCATCATTAACTTACTAGCATAAGTAACATACTTAAAGGACATAAATTCACCAATAGTGATATTTTTCCACTTAAAAGTCACTATTATAAATACATGCCACTCCTCCTCCTCACCTGCCTGGTCTTAAGATATGCATAAAGCTGTAGCTTTCAGGAGCAGTTTCAAGTAGAGTTGTTGTGCCATTTTCACTTTGCCACGTTTCTGACAGTAACAAATTCAAAGCTTATGCTCTCTGATAAGATCTCAAATCAGAAGTGTTTTGTTATTTAGTGACCTTACTTTGAGTAAACCAATCATAGACAATACCTCTGTTGTTGTTACTACTAACCTGTCTGTTGTTTATTGCCATTACGTCCAGTCAAGCCTAGTGTAGTACCTTCTCTAATGAAAGACCCACGGCGGATTGGGTGTAATCCGTCCCTGCAGTACAAGGCCGGTCACTCCCAAAAAGCACTCCAGTTGCTCACATAGCCAACGCAATTGTTGTTGCACCAGCCTTGGAGCCAACAGTGAAGTGCATAGAGCCTACTGAACACCTTGCATCCTCTCCTGTAGGTGGGCAAAGGTCCGAGATGAAGATCCTGGCCTCGGTCCTCTTCTTAACGGTGTGTAGAAGTAATCCAAAATGCTCCTTCTGTCGTTCATTCCCACTTGAATGACCATGGTGCCGATGTCCTCGTATTTGCTCAGAGTCGCGGGAAACCGCTTGGAAATATGGCTTTCAGAAGTCTGACGATGGAATGTCTGATTATTAGAACACTGTCCTGAGTCATTCTCCGAGGCGCGGAAGCAAGTGGACAACTGAGGGCTTTAAGTCCACAGGAGAAGTTGGTGAAGACTTTCTCTTTCCCTGGCCACGCTGGTATTCCCAGACTTGTTCTGTTGTGGTCATGAAGTTGGGGAATCTTGGTGTTAGCTGTGAATGTAGCACTTCATCCAGAGGAGTGAAAGTTGCCACCGGATGTGAAACCGCCGTATACAGGGCATCCCGGGCTGCTTCGAAATGCATTTTCCACTTGTGCAGCTCGGTCCACAAGTATTTATCATTATTGTCATACCTAATGTCACAATATTGCTTTTCTGATCATATTGCTAATATTGTTAGTGCGTCTACAACACTGAACAACTACATGTTTCTTTACAAAGACAGCATATTTAGGCCTGTTTAACTGGAATTAGTGTAGCACAGTAGGTCAGATGTCAAATAAAAAAAACATACTGTAGCATTTCATGTATTGTGGAACTTCTTGAAGGATTATATTATATTTCTGCTATATTTTCTGCCTCAAAATGAGGGTACTTGAGAAACAGCATCCTTCTCAGGGCAGACTGGCTTAATAACTGCCATCTAGTGTCATTCTACTGCAACTTGTATTTTACAGCAGCATCCCTCTCAAGGCAGACTGACTTCATTTCTGCCCTCTAGTGGTGCCCTAGTGCAACTTGTATTTTACAACACCATGCTTGTTAAGATAGATCACTTTATTGGGAATTCTTCTTCTATTTTTCTTTTTTTATTTTTTTTTTGATAGACAGATCGATAGATCAATAACAATAAGGCAGACTGACTTCATTATTGCCTTTTAGTGTTGCCCTAGTGCAGCTTGTATTTTACAACAGCATTCTTAAGGCAGACTGACTTCCATACTGCCCTCTACTGCCATCTGTAAGTCAGAGTAGTGATAATAATAATAGAATCATTTTACACATGTACCTTCAAAAAATTAGTTTATTATTTGAAACAGTGATTCTTTTAAACAGTAGTGTGTAAGTGTTGCACAGGGCATAAGTACTGTTCACAGA